AAGTATTAGATAACCAACGGTGGAAATTTGGACGGTTTAATCAAAATTCGCTTTCGAAAACATATTAAAATTTTAACAATTCTGATCGCAAACGTAAAAATTACATTCTTTTCGAGTGTTGCCAACAAACTTTTCTCGAAGTATTTACAATAATTCGAAGCTTGCAATTTTTTTTTTTAAGGATTTAACAATAATTCAAAACTCGTCTTCTCTATGTTTTTCACATTAAATAAAATTAAATAAAAAAAGAGTTGAAACTCAGTGGGAACTAGCGACTGGATAGGTGGGGCCAGCACGAAGTTGGGGGCCAGCATAAGTAATAACTTCGGTGGGATCCTGCGGCTGAATAGGTGGGGCCAACTTGGAGTTGGGAGAGTCAGCGAGCAATCACTTGGGGATCGACTCTTTGTGTGTGGTGGTTGAGGGTATTAGGTATTTGGAAGTCATTGCGTGACTACCGCGATTTAACTGAGACAGTTAAAAAAAATAATAATAATAACAAAAAATTAAAAAAATAAATAAAAAAAGAGGCTTGATTTAAAAGCGGACAAGTATTTCAATTTAGGTGCAATTTAGGATTTATGACCCGTGGTAAGTCACCTAACCCGCTCCCATATTTTGACTTTCATGTAAATGTCGGTCTAATGGAGTTATTATTAGATTTCAATAAATAGGTTGAAATTTAAATAACCTCTCTATAATCTTTCTACTATTAATTAATTAATTATGAAATAATATAGGTTTAATTAAAGGTAACATGTGATTTAGGTTGACCGGATTAAATCATTCAGCTAAAAAATGAGGTGCAATAATTTGTCTCTTTGACTAACCAATCAAAAAAAATTATGTTGATGGCAACGGGTTCGGGTTGGTGAATCTCGGGTCTTCCGGACTCCAAGACCCGATATCCATATATTCAATTTAATGAATAGATCAATTATAATTGTTTTTATATATTTTTAGAAATATTAAAACTACATTTTTTTTTTAAAAAAAAAAAAGAAATATATGATATTACCAAAGGATTTTTTGCCAATGAAATATTGAGACTTTAATTGGAAGTTAGCATTGAAATACTCTAATTTCGTGTCGTTAAGGTTGTTTTCAGAAATAATCTAATAATAATTCGAGTATAGCACTTTCAACTGATATGCATATTTTTAAACATTGTATGATATTTTATAGTATAAATATTTATATTAATTAAAATAAATTATAACAGATCGGCCCGTCTATTGATTATCTGTCCCATACACGAATATGTAACAGATCGGCTCAGCTTGTATGTTGTCCCATACAAAAGTATGGAGTTTTGTTTAGAGATTTTAATTTTTCAACACGAATTTTGTTGCAGCGAACTAATTTTTTATGGAGTCAGGTCGACCCGTTTTACAGTACACACACACACAAATACATTAATTCTTGTATGGTGCGCTATAATCGTTAGGAGGGTCGATCCGTCTTTTTTTGTTTAACGATAAAATGTCTATTTGTGCTATATAACATACTTATGATATTCTTATTTACATTATTTTCAATTATGATATTTTAGTTTAAAGACACACACATCTGATTCATTGAATGAACAAATGTGACCAAAAATT